AATACAAGTGAATGAGGAACACACACACTAGATATCTACTAGCCTGTATTATTATTATTATTATTATTATTATTATTATTATTATTATTATTATTATTATTTCCATGCGTGAATCACAGTACTTGATCAACACTGCGGGTGCTAATCTTCCTTGTCTTTACTGACACTCTGGGGACTTCATTTCGTCTTTACTGATACTCTTGGTGTTTTACTTTCTTCTCTTTCCTAACAGTGTGGGTTCTTTTCATATTCATTCATTCCTTCTAACTAAAAAACATATCTTTAATTGTTCATAGGTTAATTTAATAGGTCTTTTATCCTAGTTATGACCAGGCCAAGGTTTAAGCCGTTTAGTAGAGTTTTAGCTATAATAACCAGTACAGTATAGCCTAATATAATGCACGTACTGTACGGAACACGGTGATGCGGAGTGGTGTCGACGTCTTTACAGAGAAACATTCTATCTATAACAAACCCTGGTGGACATACATCTACGAACCAACTATTACTTGCATATAAAATCTCTCCCAGGTGCCTTTAGTAATTTAAACTTAGACTATATCAAGGTGGCGTGAAGGTAAAGAAAAGCGTGGTTCAAAGTGTTTGATCGTCATGATGGCAACACCAACACCGCCACCGTCCTTGTCCACCACAACCTCCAACATCGCTAAAAGCAACAACCAAAGAGTTAATTAATGCACAAACCTAAAAAATAACATATAAAATAAAGATACATATATATTTATTGTATATTCACTCGTCGATCTATTCATCTAGATTCTATAACACAGAAGGCGAGTAAATTTTTATCTGTGGTATATATTATTGGTATTCAGGAAGTAGCGAGGGCAAAAATGTTCTAATTCCTATTTTTTTTCGTTGTTGGACTATAGTAGTGTATTACCGTACTAATCTTGCTATGCGCTTAAAAGACTTCATTGTTGACGCGCAGCAATATCATTCATTATTACAAAAATTGTCTAAACACAGAATTTCCTTATTTTAATTATTAACAAAATTACTGTATCGTAACGTGTTTCACTGTATGGTATAATAACATAAAATTCCAGTATCCAGTATCGTGACATTTACCTACATGTAAATTTCAGAAGAACCTTGACATCGACACTCAATTCAAAGCAGAGCTCTCAACTCAGGTGAATAGCGTGCCGTCTTCACACAGGACTTACACACAAATGCCGTTTATAATAATTCCAAGTATGCTAGTCACAAAATTGACCAATTAATATGGTCTCTTCGTACTCTTAATTATACTGTACACAGAGTTCCATCTCATAATTATTTACCGTTGTTGGACTCGTGTATTGCTAACCTTGCTACACGCTGAAAGACCTTCCCTGTTGAAGCGCACTACATTAATAACATTAAAACAACAAATACTTTTTCACTGATAAATTTCTTTAAGAATGATAAAAAACTCTCTACCTTTAACCATAAAACTCTATTACTTTTAAAGATGGAGAATGATCGGTACAGTAATCCCTTAAAAAAAAATCTTCTCTTATCTTTCTTACAATGACAAAAATGACCCCTCCCACTACACAAGAGACAAACATGACAAAAACTCAATCGTGGCTCAATCCAATCATGCATCATTAATGGCATCACAATATCAACGACGCCGACAATTACACCCAAGTACACCCTGGCGTGTTACTTGTTCATATTTAATGCTGGATAAAAACTGATAGGTGTGCGTGTTGTGTTGTCCATTGGAAACGGAATACCTTGGGTCAGGTTCGGAGAAGGTAACTGTTTAACTGCTTTTAAGGTAGTGTGTGTGTGTGTGTGTGTGTTTATGTATATGTGTGTTTATAAGAACATACGAACATAAGAATGGAGGAAACTTCAGTGGGCCTATTGGCCCGTATTGGACAGTCCCATTTACACCCAACCCCTATCCAGGGTATTCGAGTAAATGATGATGTTTGGTAACTTGTTTCATTCGTCCGCTACTCTATTTCCAAACCAATGTTTACCTATTTCGCGCCTCAATCTATATTTGTCTAATTTAAAACCATTGTTACGAGTTCGCTCCTAGTTGGATAGTTTGAGTACCTTTGTAATGTCACCTTTGTTTAGTCCTGACTTCCATTTATACACCTCTGTTATATCGCCCCTCACTTTACGTGTGTGGAAAGAGCACCATTATCTCCTCTTGGTGAGTAGCCGTTAGCTGAGCCTCCTTGTGATCACCTCGTATAACTTGGACCTCATTCGCACGGTTCATGTATTAAAATTATACTAACCTCTAACGGCTAACCAGTGAGTGATGCAGAGTTCTATTACTCAGAACTGCTTAAGTGTTGTTGGAATGGTGTAATTACTAGCAGTGGTAAGCGCTTAAAGACCTTAGTTGTTGAAGGGCATGCAGTATAATAACATAACTGTGATAAACCCCTTTTCAGCAGTGAATGTTTTAAATAAATTTACGTATTAAACAAGCAACCTTAAGATTTCTCTACATCCATTCAGTCAATATTCATTCCCCAAGTTAAGTAATTTTATATACCGCAACATCATCTCTCCCCATGTACTGTTTCTTAAAACCTTTCCTGTTTCAATCCCTCTTTTGTTCCTGGTTCCCTGTGTTACATCGTTCTTCTTCTTGAGCTGTCCATCCGCATCATGTCTCTTCATTTTTCTCTAACTTCTCCATATCCCATTTGTCTCAATCAAGAATAGTTTACAAAACAAGACCCCTTTAGTTCAATTCCTGCTAAGAGCCCATATCAATTTTGAGTAAACTTGTTGTTGCTATACTGTATTACTGCATTTGAGTAGCTACTGTCATTAAGCGCGTCCTCTGGGTTAAAGGGCTAACCCGAGAACTGCGACATACATCATATGATGGAACTCAAGCTTTAAAACTTCGCGTGTGTGGGGAGGCGTGTGAGCTTGGGAGACGTGTACAGGGTGTGTGAGTATGTTTTTCATACTTCTGCATGTAATCTTTAATGGCAGAGGTGTATAATTGGTTTTTGAGAAAAATAATTACCAAGATTTATTGTACATGGACTGTATGCCCCAGAAAACCTAATTGAGTACTGGATAAAGGAAAGGTATTAGCATAATGACTACCAAGGAAGCTTTACAGACCCTCCAGTTGTAATAAAAACAGCGAGCATTAGTTTCCTCCCTGGCCTCAACAACAGCCACAGAGGCACCACATAGCTCCATGGGGGTTAGGAGTGTGTTCGGGGTCACTTCACTGCTCGGCCAATAAAGAATATGTAACGAGAACATAATGTGCGTTGCGTTCTTTTGCCAACTAACAAAGTCGTTCACAAACTCTTCTCTCCAAATCTCCTTCCTTTTTTATTGTCCTGTGGAAGGCAACTTCCTTGTGAGGACAAAGTTACATAGTGAACTCGTACACACTATATATATATATATATATATATATATATATATATATATATATATAATCAACAACCTCACCAGCCAGGACTCGAACCCTCGACCTATTGCGTGGGACCAGGGAACGTTACCGACCATGTCACAAGGTCGGTATGGTCGATAACGTTCCTTGGTCCCAGGCAATAGGTCGAGGGTTCGAGTCCTTCGAGTCCTGGTTGGTGAGGTTGTTGATTATATGTTCAAAGTCCGCGTGTTATGTGGACTAAAAATGAAGTACATATATATATATATATATGTATATATATACACTTCGTATATATATATATATATATATATATATATATATATATATATATATATATATATATATATATATATAGAGAGAGAGAGAGAGAGAGAGAGAGAGAGAGACTACTAGTGATGTTAACGTGCAATGAGTGAAGTCATAAACCAGGCAACAATTTGCACTGCTATGCAGCCGAATCGATGAAATACAAGCAGCTCGCCATTCTTCTGCGGCACTCCTGTGATACACCTCCAACCTCCTCCCAGGGAACTACCCCCAGGGCGGGTACTTTTGCAATCCTCGTTTTAGAAAACTTCAACAGTACATACAGTACATTATTAGCGTTAGTCGCACCTGTGATACGATGGCCCGGAATAACTGTTCCCATTACTTGATTTATAATGACTGAGCCAAAGCAGCGTGCCAGGCTCAGGGTGGCAAGCATGCAAACATAACTTCTTTATCGCCACGCCACCATCATCACCACCACCAATAACACACCATCACCACCGTCATCACACCATCACCATCCTCAACAACACCACACCATCACCACCAGCACTACACCATTACCACCAGCACCACACCAACACCACATCATCTTCAACACCACGACCATCATCACCACCACCACCCTTCATCTGGATGACCACAGATATCTCATACAAGACGTTTATGATAAAAAATATACCAAATCAAACCTATCCTAGATTTGTTAGGTTCCGGTCAAGCTTACTTTCGTTTCAGCTGAATTAAACGAAGTTTTATATTCTAAAACAATGCATTATCCTAGTAAAAATAACAATGTAGGTAAGACTGCGTTCAAGCAGGATTCACCAACTAAAATCCGCTTAAGGTATAACATGTCGATTACCTCTGAGCATGTCTGTGTAAGCTGGTAAAAAATATGCGGTCGGCTTGTGTCCTGTCCTACGCATCATGGTTCAGACTCTCATCCTTACTGAAACAGAGACCTAGTTCCTCCCTCATGTCTCCCAAGACTCCCTGATATTATACCAGGTAACACGATGTGCTCGATCCACTGTTTTATGATAATCCATTAAATATGCCAAGTTTTCTCGTGGGTCTGGCGGTGGGCTGAAATCTTCGTACTGAGGATGTGGGGAACACGGCATAAGCTCCTCTCGTTGGTGGTATTCTAATGATGACTGTACTAGAATGGCGTCAGTTACACCTCTTAAAGTCATACTACGGTATACCGGACTGGTGTTTTTAATAAGTGTAGAAGTAATATTATTATAACCAATAGGACTTATATTTCAGGCACGGAGAGTATAATCATGTTGACTGACACCCTCTATTATCTCCACAGGTATCGACGTCGGGAAATTAACCACCCGCATGGTTTTCCACACGAACATGTCTGACTGGAAGAAGTCCTTCATAGAGGCGGAGCAAGAGAAGGCGGAAACAGAGTTACAACATGTAGAGCCAATCAAACTGCGAGTTGGCCTCTACGTCACTGTATGTCTCTTCATCGCTGGCGGGATCTTGATAGTGTCAGCGATCGGAGGATTTTTCAGCCTGGTAAGATACCAAGTTGCACCAAGACCACACTTCAGAGTCGGACTGGTCACTGACTTTGTGCCATGGCACATGCCGCCCCCGCCCCCTCCACCGCACAGGCAATGATTATGGACCTTTTAAATAATCTTCGAAAGAAATTCAGATACTACCTTAACCACTCTGAGCCAACGACACGTGCACAAGGAGATAGGACGGGGATGTTATTGCCATGGTCTCTTTTCTCTATTACCTAATGGTATCATGATGGGTGCCACGGTTGACACGAGGAAATGGTCAGATGAAGGATTCTTCACAAAAATTAAAAACCTGGTGACAAATGCATAGTTTGTTGATGATTATCAGTACTAGTGGGGTGGAATGGGCCCCAACTACCAGCACTAGTGGGGAAGAATGGGCCCCAACTATCAGTATTAGTAGGGAAGAATGGGCCCCAACTATCAGTACTGGTGGGGAAGAATGGGCCCCAACAATCAGTACTGGAGGGGAAGAATGGGCCCCAACTATCAGTACTGGTGGGGAAGAATGGGCCCCAACTATCAGTACTAGTAGGGAAGAATGGGCCCCAACAATCAGTACTGGTGGGGAAGAATGGGCCCCAACTATCAGTACTGGTGGGGAAGAATGGGCCCCAACTCATTATGAAATGACACGACCCTCAAACAGTGCTCAGTCTTCCTATGCCACACTTATACTGTATATTTATACTCCTATTCGAAACTATTAAATTCATATGAGACACTACAGAGTCATCTATGAGGAGACACTATTTCAAAGATTCGCTCAAGGGGTTCAAATTTTTAGACATGTTTTTTCCGTAACTTGATTTGATAGAGTATTTCAGTACACATGGCTTAGACTATACTGTACTGTACTGTAATAAAATGTTTTATTTAACTTCCGGTTACTCGTAAATTCACTACCACACTCACTCCAATACTGCCACACTCACCCCAACACTGTCACTCTCCATCCAACAATACCATACTGACTGCGGCACTCCTACACCAACCCCAACACGGCCACACCCACTCCAACATTGTCACACCAACTCGAACATTGACACACCCACTCCAACACTTCCGCACCCAATCTCCAACACTGCCACACCCACTCCAACACAGGCATGCGCACTCCAACACTGCCACACCTGCTCCAACACAGGCATGCGCACTCCAACACTGCCACACCCACTCCAACACAGTCATGCGCACTCCAACACTGCCACACCCACTCCAACACAGTCATGCGCAGTCCAACACTGCCACACCTGCTCCAACACAGGCATGCGCACTCCAACACTGTTACACCTGCTCCAACACTACTACATATTATATTTAATACGATCACATTCCTTCAGTAATTGCTCGAATACCTGCTGTACTCGGTAGGTCGCCCTTCACCCTCCCACAGACGACACCCCCTCCCACCTACCACAGACGACACCCCCTCCCTCCTACCATAGACGACACCCCTTCCCACACCCCCTCCTCCCCTACCACAGACGACACCCCTCCTCCTACCACCAGACGGTACCCCTCCACCTCCCTGAAGACACCCTCTCCCACACAAGAAGACACCCCCTCCTCTGCAGACACCCCCTCCTCCTACCACAGACGACACCTCCACCTACCACAGACGACACCCCTCCCACCTACCACAGACCTTGCACCCCTCCCACCTGCAGAACACCTCCTTCCTACCACCAAGCGACACCCCCTCCCTCCCCTACCACCAGACGACACCTCTCCCTCCTACACCATAGACGACACCTCCCCTCCCCTGCAACACCCCCCCTCCCTCCTACCATAGACGACACCCCCTACAGACGACACCCCCTCCCACCTACCATGGGCAACACCTCCCTCCTACCATAGACGACACCTCCTCCCTCCTACCATAGACGACACCTCCTCCCTCCTACCATAGACGACACCTCCTCCCTCCTACCATAGACTACACCTCCTCCCTCCTACCATAGACGACACCCCGTCCCTCCTACCATAGACGAAACCCCCTCTCCCCTAAAACTGTCATGAAAATTACCTATAAACAGTCTTCCATGTTCCAACAGAAGAGCGGGTGGTGGCTGGTGTGTGCAGGCGGGTGTGTGGGCGTAGAGATGGTGGTGGCTGGAGGCGTGGTCACCTGGAGTGGGCGAGGCCTCTCTAACACTGCCCTGGTACAAGGTCAGTTCAGTTACTCCACGTGCCACTTATTGACTTTTGTCTCAAGGTCAGGTATATCTTCTTTGCTGTAACGAATAATGGTATGTATAATAAATCTAGTGATTCTAAAGGTTATTTGTGTAAAGTTAGTATAAAGAGACTACCCCTTTTTGCACTTTACTCCCACGGAAATTCATAATATATCGACAATATTTTGCATTATACCATTGTGTCATAACCTTTGACACCACCTTCTTATAAATCGACATTCCATCAGATTACTTCAACAGACTTGCAGATATTACACAGACATATCACCAAAATAGTCATATTAAATTATCCAGGACACTCAGACACATAATATCAACGGTTTTCGAACCCATAAAGTTCTCCAACAGTCTTCTAGCAGTACGGCATTCCGTTTTCGATAATGTTACCGTGCATATATTGCAATATTATCAGAGTTATTAATATTTGTCCTATTAACTCACATATTTTTATAAAATGTCTGTACACACACACACTTTGTCTGTCGTAAAGCGTGTCTCGAACATTGTTTCAATGATATTCCTTTTTATGAAACTGATTCGAATGATACTTAATTGTTTCGAGTTTTGAACTCTGTTCAAAATAAACTGAAAAGTAATGAGAGTAAAGTGCAAAAAGGGGTAGTGGTGTCTGTTAATCCCGATGACCCCAGCAGCAGAACGGGGACAGCTCAGCATAATGGTAAACTTCCGAATACAAGAAAATAACCAAAATGATTCAAGTACAAAATTTAATGGGAATATAATTTTGAAAATTACCATAACTCTGCCAAAAACTGACACAGCAACATAGAAAAAGAATATTCCTCTCCAGATAATGATAAATAACCATGACACATGCCAATCCATCTAATGAAAATAGACTAGTTACCATCATAAATTTGTAAAGGTTGGACAGACATACAAGTCTCCTGGACACATTACATGTCTCGTGGACAGACATACAAGTCTCCTGGACACATTACATGTCTCCTTCCCGTAATCATACATTGTCCGTGGCAGGTGGACAGCGCAGTGCACCACATTAATAATCTCCCCACATATTACACATTGCCGATATCTTAAGAGACCCAACAGGTATCGATAGATCTCTGGCAGCCCTGTAAGTGTCGGGAACCCAAGTACATCGAATTCTGCACATTCTGAGTACGTAAGAAGGATTATGGACGGAGCCTGAATAACGATCGTTTTCCAATTATTTGACAGTGAACGATCCAACATGAACTCAGAAAGCACTAGACATTCCGTGCTTCACTACTTCTTAGACACACACCTATCAACAATCACACATCTGCTCCCACTACCAGTTACATACATGACTTCAAATTCCATCACCTTACAATTATTCAAACACCTATCCCAAAACAACCCACTCCACAGTTGCACATACCTGCCCAAACATATATACTGTATACTCCCTCCCCTAACACCCATCCCTCTCAACCACAGATCAACAGTGGCCACGAAATCCACCACCACTCACCTTGGCATTTAATTGCCGTTACCTCCCCCCCCCCCACCCCAATCCTCCTCATCCATCTCAGTTACCCTCCATACCTCGCTGGTTCAGGCATGTATGGGTATCTGAGGTTACTACCTACATCATGGAGAATACCACTTAAGGCAACACATTCCTCCACATGCCGCCGGTGAAAAAAGAACCTTGGAGATGCGGGGTATCGATCCCCGTACCTCTCACATGCTAAGCGAGCGCTCTACCATTTGAGCTACATCCCCAATCTACTGGTCATGGAGGCGAACACCGGGGCCTTTCACATGCAAAGCGAACGCTCTACTACTGAGCAACACCCCCTTGTAAATTGTTGTTGTGTTGTGTGTGTGTGTAATCCTGGTAAAGAAAAACAAATTCTCATTAAACAAATATATCATTGAACAACTGCAACACACACGTTGAATTCCCGACCCAGTGAATCAGTCAAGAGAGACAGTGACGACATAGTGGTTCACCACCTGTGTAGCCTGAGGCGTGTGGAGTGTGGGGCTGTGTGAGGGAGATGTTTGGGCGTGTCTTGAGGGGGAGAGGGATAATGTATGTGTGTGTGTGTGTGTGTGTGTGTCGCACACAGGGTGGTGAAATGCGTCAGGTGTGGCAGCACTATATTAGTGTTAAGGTGCAAGCACTGCTTGCTTCCTCTCACCTTCAGCTGCCGTCGCTGGCTAGCCCTTGCGGTGAACAGGGAAGCAACTTGCATAAGTCTTACCCTGCCAGTACACAGATTCTTCACCATCAAGACTCCTGCTGTGCCTTCTCGTCGCAACACACGGTAATTGGTTGCCTCGTGGGCCTAGGCTAGACCAGCAGGGGATCTCGGAGTAGCAGTGGGCCCCAGAGGAACGGCGCATAGGCCCACTGGTATGTGGACACGTTCTGGCGCCTACCACCCATTGCCCAGCTGCCTTGCAGATTAACCCTGGTAGGTTTAAGGCTACGGGAGTAAACCAAGAACGAAAATTCTGATTCCCCACATCAGGCATACATGCTTACAGAGCTCCAACAAGCCCCAAACGGCGGTATAGGCGGAAGAGGTGACCACCGTAGAAACCCAACGACTACATCAGCGGACGAAGGCAATACCTGATGGACAGGCTACTATGGCGAATCCCAACAAACTGGGCTATCGGCAGTCCATTGCAAGTCTCCCTCTCCCCAGTCGTTGCAACACTTGCACTACTGGATCAGGTAAAGAGAGAGCCAAGATGTGTGGCTGCAGCCTGCGCCCCTGCCTCATCACATAAATTAACTCACGAACAGCCATCATCCAGTTCACCATACCTCTCATCATCATCAAAACCCCTATACCCCAAAGTCCTATGGCGACAGACGAGGCGACGGGAGGCAGAGATGACTGCCAGAGTCTCTAGTCACAACTCTGCACATGGGCGGCACAGATAAGATGGTTGTTTATGCACTGGGATCTAGGCAGCAGTGCAATCCAGTCCTGTCTGTGCGACAGAGCAGCCATTTCGAGGAGCCACTCTGCTCACCCCACATGGGGAGAGGCTAGAAAAGGTGCCCTAAACATAGCCTTCCTAAAAACCCAACCTGACTGGGCAACCGCACCCAGTAAGGTCCTCCTTATGCAGTAGAAAACACAGTAAAAATCACAGATCCAAACAAAAACAAACCATACAGCCTTTTATGGTCGCTGCATGGAATGTCAGGACCCTTCTGGATGCTGGCACAAATGAGCGTCCTTGTGGCAAAAGAGCTGGCTAGGTATAACATCGACATAGCAGCCATCAGTGAGTCCTGGCTCCAAGATGAGGGCCAGCTCACAGAACTGGGGTCTGGCTATACCTTCTGGAAAGGTGAGCCTGCTGGAGAGAGAAACCACATTTATGGAGTTGGCTTTGTCATCCGCCAACTCATCCTACACAGGCTAACTGAAATGCCTATTGTGATCAACGAGCGCCTCATGACGCTTCGAGTCCCACTGAATCATTCACGTCATGCCTTTTTGAATACGCCCCAACACTGGATGCAGAGGATGACATCAAGAAAGCCTTTCATGCCGACCTTGACAGAGTGCTAACCTGTATCCCCAGAGAAGACAAGGTTGTGCTCCTTGGCAACTTCAATGCCAGAGATGCTAGTATTTGGCAAGGACCCATAGGGAGAAATGGACTAGACAAGTGTAATGCCAATGGCCTACTCCTCCTCAGTCAAAGTGTGCTGCGCACAGCCACACTATCACCAATACCCTGTTCCGGAAGGCCGACAAGTTCAAGGGTTCGTGGCAACACCCACGATCCAAACACTGGCATCTCATTGACATCATTGCCAGAGAAAGAGATCGCCGAGATATCCTCATCACCCGTGCCATGCGTGGCTCAGACCACTGTGACACTGATCATCGGCTTTTAGAGCCAAGCTCTCACTTCACATCGCCCCAAAACGGCGAAGGCAGCAAGCCTCCAGAAGAGGTTTTAATACTAAGCGTCTGCAGGACCAAGCAGCAGCACATGCTTTCAGAGAGCAGCTCGAACATGGGCTTATAAACAATCCAACAGCAACAACGCAAAGAGACCATCGGCCAGAAGAAAAGAATACACCAGAACTAGTTTGATGAAAATTACCCTGTAATCAAAGTACCCATCGATGATAAACGTGCTGCTTTTACTGACTGGTAAAATAACCCTCAATCTCGGACCAAAGCTGATACCTTCCGCAAGAAGAAAGCGGCGGTCCAGCAAGAACTTCGCATTCGAAAGAATGTCTGGCTTAAAAATAAAGCATGTGAAATACAAAAAAACATGCAGATTAGCACAAGATAATCGAATTCTTCAATTCCATTAAAACATTTTATAGGCCAACCACCGTGGCGCAGCCCCCCCCCCCCTCCACTCATCTGACGGTAACTTCATAATTAAAACGACGAAGGCCTCCTTCAGCGCTGGAAAGAGCACTACCATTCATTGGTCAACCGAAACACCGATGTGGATGTCCTGACTACCCAGCAGATACCTCAGCATCCAGAGCTGATCCACCTCAGCTGTCCTCCATCCCTGGACGAGGTCGCTACTGCCAACAAACAGATGAAAAATAACAAAGCCTCAGGGCCTGATGGAATCCCAGCTGAGGTATATAAAGCAGGACCTCTGCTTACCAGCCATCTCCATTCTCTCCTGGAGAATATATGGGAAAAGGAGGAAATCCCCCAAGCTCTTAAAGATGCTTCCATTGTCAATATTTATAAGAACAAGGGAGACCGGTCAGACTGTGGCAACTAGTGGGATCTCGCTACTCTCCGTAGCTGGCAAGATTATCGCCCGAGTCCTCCTAAACAGACTCCTTCTTGAGGCGGAAACTTCCTGCCAGAATCTCAATGTGGCTTTAGACCATCACGTGGCACCACTGACATGATCTTTGCTGCCCGTTAAGTACAGGAAAAGTGCAGAGAACAGCGTCGTGACCTGTACATGGCTTTCATCGACCTAACCAAGGCCTTCGAC